GTAAATTCAACTAGGAATGACTAAAACTTTTAAAAACTAGGATTGGGGAATAGAAAACAGGAGAGTGGAAATGAGATGCTAATGTTGAGTGTGAGCATACCTGTCAAAGGAGAGTTGAAATACAAGGAAATCACCACCCATTAAATGCAATAACAATATTAACATCTCCTCTGTTTTTTTTATAACTGTGTGATTATGAGGGTGTTGTTGGAAAAATAGTGCAGCTTCACAAATTGGACCACATCTTTCCGTAAAAATTTAAAACCCGGAACTGTTGTGCAATGTGGAATGTGGAACTCTTTGCCTCTTCTATAATTGTTGCAATCTGATTTGTCGTAAATTCTAAATGTGTAGGGAAATGGAGGTGATCAAATTTGAAGGGTCGCTACAAGTCAATTTGATCTCATTGAAGTGGAAAGAGTTTTTGAACTATTGTAAAAGTTTGAATACATTATGTTTGATTTTGTGAAATATATTTTTTGCTAGAATATATTGAACTATTGTAAGAGTACTTTCTGAACTATTGTGTACACATATTTAGAATATTGATTTATAAGTATGTGTATGTGTACACAAGACATACTATCTTTTGATGTTTATTGCAAATCTATATATTTGAATTACTTATGAGCCAATTTAATGCTTGAGATTATTTATTGCAAAATAATATTGGTGTTTTTTAATTAGAAATTGTGGCATATAAATATTTTATAGCCAAAATGATATGGCCACACTTAAAAGTGTAGCCATAGGACTGTAAATTGTGGTATGCACATGGGCAAGGACTACACTTCAAAGTGTTGTCATACATTAGATAGAAAAGGCAACACTTTAAAATTGTTGTCATACATTAGATAGAAAAGGCAACACTTTAAAATTGTTGTCATACATTAGATAGAAAAGGCAACACTTTAAAATTGTTGTCATACATTAGATAGAAAAGGCAACACTTTAAAATTGTTGTCATACATTAGATAGAAAAGGCAACACTTTAAAATTGTTGTCATACATTAGATAGAAAAGGCAACACTTTAAAATTGTTGTCACACATTAGATAGAAAAGGCAACACTTATAAATCGTGGGCAATAAGGAAGCTAAGGCCACGCTTAAAAGTGTAGTTGTATGAGATAAAAATGTTGCTATTTGAAGTACATAAAAGCGTTGCCATTTTGCCTTTTAGGCTACGCTTTTAAGTGTAGCTGATAAAGGCAACACTTGAAAAGTGTTGCCTAAACTCTAAGGTAACGCTACTTTCGGGCACCCCTGGAAAAGTGTTGCTTAAAAACCAAAAGTGTAGCCTTTTATCGAAGGCCACACTTTTTGCTAGTTTAGGCTACACTTTACTGGGGTGGCCGTAGGCCTAAAATGGTGTAGTGTTAGTACAAGAATGTACTAAATATGATATCTTGCATAAACATCAACATAAGCATAAGAGTTTGACAATATACATCATAAGCAAAATCAATGCACAATAATAAATAATAACAACATGTAAGGAATACTATTCAAGTAACCTCAAAGCGTACTCAACCAAGACATGGGTAATCAGCTAGAGGTCTTAATCATCATATAAGGTAACCTTAACAATCATCCAAATTCCTCACCTATCATTCTCATCTTTATCTTATCTTTTATAAACATTGGGAATCACCTCCTAGCCTTCCTATAAAGTCTAATGGGTAGTCGCCTCTTGCCTTACTTATATGGTTATAGGTACTCACCTCCATTTTCATCTTATGGGATCATGGGTACTCACCTCTATGCCAGCATCATATGACACGGGTATTCACCTCACATCATTTCATTATAAGATGCGGGTATTTGCCTCAAAATCATTCAATTAAGGATCATGGGTATTCTCCTCCATGTCAAACATTAGGGAATAAGGGTAGTCGCCTCTTACTCTCCTTTAAAGAATATGGGGAATCACCTCATATGCTTCTCAATTAGAGATTAAGGGTAATAACCTTTAGCCTTATCAAATTCTAAGTCCTTTAGTCTCGATTCATTTTAGGTGAGCAATTCATTAAACGTAGAATCATTAAATGTGAGAAAGCCTTTCACATTCATACTTTAGAAATTTATGTGGGAACTATCCCTTCCACAAAATTACATCCAGAATAAAAAAATTCAAAACATAAGCTTTACTGTCAAAGTACTACATCTCATAATAAACATATATGCTTCAATCTCAAAGCAATCCTAATGTATCTCATCGCTCCTATAAGAATACATCTAACCACAAATTCTCATTTCATGGCATCTAACCCAATTATATCAGTTCTAAGTTAGAAACATCGGTTACGCATAGGTACATGTAAATTCATCATAAAAACATGTATTCTACTCGATTCAAGAATAAAAAATCATTACCCAATTAATTAGGTCAATATTCATCAATACCCACAACATTAGAAGAAAACCTTAACTTAAATTGGGGAATTTCTACTTTCCAATCAGGTCTCCATGTATGAAAGGATTCCATGGATGAAAATCCATCATACCTTTATATCAATGCCCACAATGCTTGATGATTGAAGGGTTGACCATGATCCTAGCTTGAACTCTTTCTTCTTCTTCGAGTTTTAGAGAGAAATATTTTAGAGAACTAATTTGGGATTTCTTTTGGGTTTTGGAAATAATGACTTAAATGGGTGAGTTTTGGGGTTAAAATCACTTATAAAGGGGTCTAGTCTTGGGTAAAACGACATAGCATTAATCTATTTAAAACCAAAAAAGACCAATTTACCGCTCAACTGACAGTGGACTGTCCACTACCACGAGTGTAACCACAGCCCGTAGTGGTGCATGTGGTCCCTTGACCAGTGGCCTCACTTTCCACCCCTCAACTCCCAAAACAAAGTCAAGGCCACAACCCCTCCCACGGACCGTGTTGGCCTTCACGAGCCGTCTAATGGCTCTTGGGGGAGGGTCCCTATTGGGGAGTATTGGGAGCTCACTGCCTAGCTCACTATGGCCCATGGTCGCCACCATGAGGCGTCATGGTGGTCATGGGAGGTGAGCATTGCTTGGTGAAGGCTTCCCAAGCATCACTTCCTTGGCTCCTACACTCTCACTTTACCCTAGCATAGCCTACTAGATTCAAGGTGTTACAATTATGGAGGGAACAATTTGTCGAGGAAGCTACTTTGGAGGCTAATGAGGATATGCAGAAGAGACATGTACATCTATTTGAGTCTAGAGAAGTTCCAAATTAAGGCACTAATCCTTTTCTTGGAATTTATTTTAGTTGAAATGTTGTGAATATTTGCATGTTGAGGGTTTAAGTTGGGTGTTAGATGCTTCCACCCTTAGATTTACTTTAGAGTTATCTCATTTGAGGATGAATGTTCCCAAGGGGAGATATTGTAATATCCCGCCTTAAAAAGATCCAAATTGATAAAAGAAATAATTTGGAAATAGCAAAATCTTAAACTTTGCAAGTTATTCTTAGGTTGTGAGTTTTGGATCAATATCAAATGACCATAACTTCCAGTATATGATGAGTTAGGCTGACCACACACCAATCATGTTGTTTTAATGCAATATCATTCTCAAAGTTGAAGGATTTGAGTTCTTGATGAGTTTTCTTGAAATTCCATTCGTAATCTTGGTTGTTGGTATTTTAATGAGTTCTTGAGATAAAAGTTATTGATTTAAGGGTTGTTTTTAGTAGATTATCGTGTACTTATGTTGGGTATTCAAATCTAAGTGACTGGGGAAAAACCATTCGATTCTAGGTGAATTAGGATCAGAAAAAGAGAAAGAAATTTCGTCAGGTATTTCTTGGCAGAGGCTGTTGCGCTCAGTTATATTTTTGGAGTAGAATTGAGCACCAATATTGGGGAGAGTTCTAATACCTCACAGCCCCCATAAACCATGTAGCCAATGTGGGTA